AAAGAGCTCGTCTAGTAGGTCCACTTGTAAGCCCCCCCCCCAACAGGTCCATAGCCCGCCCAATAGACCTGCTCAGTGAGTGATGGAAAAATTTCGCGAGCAGAGCCGAACCCAACCCTGTCCGGCCAAGGACAGCCCCCAGATGAAAGTGAAATACAATATAACTGTCAAAGGGTATGTTAATAATAATAAAATATTTTTAAAAGTAGATTGTAATTAAACCTCAAAAATTCAGGCGCAAATGTCTTTTAATCCCCTGGAGTGATGCCTACTCTTTATAAAACAAGAAAGTTTTGCTTAATGGGAGATGACCCTGAAGTCAGAATATCAATTATTTCTAATGTTATTTTATGAATTATAACAGAACACTCTGCGAGTACCAAAAACTTCATCTAGAAAATCAACTGGGTATGATGTAATGTAAAATTTAAGTTAAAAAATTAATTTTATTGTATTAAATATCAATTTTTCTTTCGCCCTTTTTTTAATTACATTTATATAATAAAATACAATACAATTCAAATCTCAAAAGACAAATAAAATGATTTTTACTATTCACGGTTGATATATTTTTAAATTTTATTTTAAAGTTAATATGATGACTAATATTAACACTTCAAATTTAATAGGAAAAATAGGCTTCTAAAAGTGTATTTGTAATAACTTTTTAAAAATACTTCTACAAATTATTTCTCATAATTACTTTAAAAAAAAAAGGTACTACTTGAAACAGCCCCACCACCATCTCTACCACCACCACCCCCATCGCTCCATCACCATCACCCCCATCGCTCCACCACCATCACCATCACCACCACTACAACCATCGCCACTTTACCACACCCACCACCACCACCGCCACCACCATCACTATCGCCACTTTATCACACCCATTGCCACCATCACCACCACCTCCACTGTCCCACTACCACCACCACAACCACCATCACCACCACCTCCAATGCCCCACTACCACCATCCCCACCATCACCTCCACTGACAATATGAATGATTTTGAGAAGAATATTGGTGACCAATGAATGAGTCTATTTGGGACCATGAAATGAGTTTATTGAAATTTATCCTGTTTTATATTATAGATGATCAAATTATTTCATTTCGTAAGACCCTGTGGGGAAGTAGAGCATCTAAATTAGTTTTGTGTTCACATTGTTTCCCATATTGAAGAGTTTTGGGCTCCAACAAATGCAGTTATCGCTTTCACATCTACATCTTTTATTTAAACACAAAATCTAAAAAAACAAGAGTAATTGGACTCAAAGTGGATCCCATCTAATAATAAAATTTATTATGAATCCAAAAATAATAGCACATAGGTTATCAAATTATAACAAATTAGTTTTGAGAAATAGCGTCTATTACTTAGTAGCACCACTGCGCATGATGAAATGGGTAGAAATCTTTAACATTAGGCAATTTGGTTGTATTTGGCAAGGTCACTCAATACTAAGTTTGAATGAATCTCTAAGGCCCGTCTTAATAAGCATGAGACTGTTGGGGTTTGGATCGTTCATTTGCAAAGAGGGCTCATGATCTGCTCAAAATCATGATGATATAAGAATAGTTTGCTCAACTTCTATGTTATTATTCATTTATTTTTATCAAAAACTTGAGCTTGACGTGGCTATCCTTGTCTGATTAAACGAACCAAAATCATAAAACGATTGGAGTTCGAGCTTGTGTTTACCTTAAGCTCAATCTCAAACTTGTATTCACGGTTAAGCACAATTAATTTATATATCTATTCACGAGTTTAGACCAATCGGAGAAGATATTACTTAAGCTTGACTCGTTATAAAATGAGATTTAAAAACTTATTTAAGCTTAGTTCGTTTTCTACAGTAAATGAGTTTCAATATGGTCGATATCTGGTCATTGATAAATTATTCCATCTAGTTGTGGGCCTAGTCGGGAATTCACATGCTGTATGTGCATTGTGTGAATAGGTTGATCTCTAGATTTGGACAGAAAGTCTCATTGCTTGCATGTCATTGTGTATACTTGGACGCATATTGTCTCCAAATTATTAGATATTGCCCGGTCTACTTTTACTAATTCTTCTTGTCTTCATCAAGATACTATCTTACCATACATTTTCTAGACACCTATTTGTTTATGGAGCCATTATTTTTGTAGGTATTTGGTGCATTTTTGACTTGTAGACATTTTCTCAAGTTCCACGTACTTCTCATCACAATTATTATTTTGGGCAAACTTCACTTTATCTCCTTGTAGTATGTCCCAAATGCACATAGCCTCCCTCGTATTTAAAAATGTGAGACAAAAATAACCTTGTTAAATTTTGAAATTGTAGAAACACCATTGTCTTCTTCTTTGAACCAATGATCAACACCACCCCCATTGTATGTCACCATGGAAGGTCTATAATACTCCAACATGCACTACAAAAGACCAAACAGATGGGTGGATCAAAGAAGCACAAATATTAAGGACCTTGTCTCTTCATCATAGACACAAACACTAATTTCCTCCATTCTTTTACTTCATCATAGACACTAACCCACCTAAAGCTACTCCACCTTCTCCTTGTACCTTCAATCAATTAAACCCTCTTAAACCTATTGCACCTTTGCACAACTAACTGGAGGGAGAGAGAGAGAGGGAATCTAAATATATCGACCACCACCTACAACTACTCATGGCCACCATCCCGAGTTAACCCCACCATAACTTGCATTTTCTACCAGTCTAAATCATTGTCATTTCTTTACTTTGAAACGACAGTCACCTGTAATTGTTGTCGTGGTTGAGCAATAGTTTGTCGCCATTGGCAACCTACCTGCAATCGTTGAGCAATAGTTTGTTGTCATTGACAACCCATTGAATTTGATTTTGGTTCTAATATGTTTTCTTTTCATTTTAATTGTGAGGCTTTGGAAATTAAAATTTGGAATTTGATGAATTGATATGTGTTTGGGCCGCCATAGAAGAAATGTTTGTTGTTGAAGAAAGAGAGGAAAGCTAGAAAGGTCATTTCAATATTTTCATCAACGGTGTTAGAATTGCGTTTTAGTCCACAAACCTTATGAAAGTTATATTGCTATTTTTAAATATGAGGGTGGTGATGTATTTTTGAAGTATACCACAAGGGAAAAGAACCCAAGGGTAAAGTGAAGTTTGTTCTATTATTTATTTAATACATGTGTAAGCTGGCATAGTTGAACTTTGAACCCTGTCAATAGTTGGTACAAAAAAAGAACACTCTAAATGATAGTTTTTGGCAACTCAGTTTGCAATAACAATACTTTTCAGTCACTTTGCTTAAATAAACAATTATGATGCATCTATTGAAATTCATTCTAGATGAATTTGTTCATCAAGACTAGAAAGCAATCAAGAGCGTCTGTCCTTGAGAGGTGTCTCTTTAAACTATAAACATTGATTATGTAATAAACACAAAAGTCGGCAGCACAAAATCTTTTAATTATTTGATAATTGAAGAAGAGCCTAGCCCCAGTTCCAACCTCACTGAGTAACTAATGCCCAAATTCTATGCCATAAGCCATGGAGTAACAGAAAAAAAAGACTTGGTGATCAAGTCAATTTGAGCCTCTAAAAGAGTGCCACGTGTATTGTCCCCTTCCAATCAGACTTGTTCGAAGCTTCCCTGACGGCTGGGGAACGGGACGACGAGGACTTTGCTGCTTTTTTCAACAAATTGATAGAAAACTACCAATGGAAGAAAATCTGAGCAATTTCATTATAATAAACATTTTAATGGGATATGGGTTGACAAATGAGTATTCTTTGATTTTGGATGGGCTTGAGGCTTGACAAATCGATGTGTAGGTCCTTGAAATTTAATAAGATTCCATAAAACGTCTTGTCATAGTTTCGTAAGTAAAAATCATCAGGAAATAACAATTTTAGTTTTGTTTAGAAAGATTGTGAAAAAATATTGAATGTAACGATGACACACATGATATTGATTATGTAGTGTTGCAAATGAGTGATATAAAATATTAAATGTACTTAATAAGCTCTATTGTTTTACTAATTATTAGTAACTACTTCTGTCATGTTGGAATGGTGGGATTTACCAATTTTGTTTATTGTTTTATAATTAATTTACGATATCACATGCCAATAATGATATAGTGTCACTGTTACACTTAATATTTACTCCACCAACGCCCTCAATAGTATTGAGAAATTATTAATTAGTGTTTTAAATTAATTTTAAAAAAAAATTAATGTGAAAAGTTACCAAAAATTGTGAAAATTTCAAGTGAGGGGGTTGTTACATTGACGTAAGAAATGGTTACATAGGTCACATGGAAAGGGACCGGGTAAATATTTCAAATTGTGAGAATTTATTTTTTCAGAAGGAAAGATTTTCGAAACTCTCTTCCATGAAATTTGTTTGTTATAGATAAAATTTTGAGTAAATAATATTTTGATTCATTGAGATTTGTCACTAAATTACATAAATTTTTCAAGAAAGAAAAATCACATATGAAAATAATGAGTTTATTTATGTTTTACGTGTGTGCATATTTTAGGAGTGTTTATGTTAATTTTTTCTATCTGAGGAAATCCGTTAAAACTTTGATGATTTCGGTTTAATTTACGAATTTAAGCAATACTATTTGTATCTAGTTGACATAATTCATCACAAAAAAGTTAGTTATCAATTAAAGGACAATGAGTGTTTAAGTTAACAAATTAGGTTAAAAAATTAAATTTAAATAGGATTACTCTTTGTTATTGTGGACTTTTATAAACAAATAGGAAGGAGAGGTGAAAGGTTCAAACAAACATAAAGAAACTATATAGTTAATTGCCTAGTGACTTTCCACGTACACGGCCCGCCATTGTAAAGCTTTCATATGTATTTCTTCTCATATTTGTTTAAGTTTCTAATTGATGAAGAAAAGTTCAAGCTTCCAATGCTTATATACCGCTTTGGGGAAAAAAAATGCTTATATATACCCATGGTATAACTCACCTTCACATTCACCTTCACCATCTCTCTCATCCTCTTACTAGTCCCTAATTGTTGAAACCATGGCTTCCTCAAACTTCATGGCTTCTTTGGCTTTAATTCTAGTTCTGCTAGCTGTTACTGTAAAAGCAAATGATAATATACCTCCTGCTCTCGCTCCTTTCTTTGGTTTATCTCTCTCTCTCTCTCTCTCTCTCTCTGTTTCTAACACACACATAGATTTAGATACTGAGAAGTTTGTGTTGATTGACAGACAACCTATGCAATGAAGTGGAATGTGGGAAAGGAACTTGCAAGACATCACCTGGATCCCCATTCAACTTCGTATGTGAATGCGATGCTGGTTGGAAGCGCACCCGTTTTGACAACGAAGAAAATCTTCAATATCTTCCTTGCATAATTCCAAACTGTGCGACCCCTTCTCTTCTTTTTCCCCCAATTTTCTTTCTTCTCCTTTTGGTTGATGATAAAGCTCCAACAAGAAAATAGGAAAATAAATAAATAAATTGTTTTGGTATTGCCTAACAGCCTAAAATGTTTGTATGAAAGGCAAGGCAATTGATTAGAAATTTTTGCAGGTAAGCAGTGGATATAAGAATACATAGAATACATATCCAAATATTTATGTATCAGGTTTTTGATCCTTTGAATATTAGATTTTGACAATTTTAATTGATTTTAGTCAACCTATCTTACCTTTGCAATCTTAAATTGTTTAGTGCTCAACAATTTAGAGTTGTTATTAACCTATTGTTTTCTCATTTTTGCAGGTACTCTTGACTACTCGTGCATGCCGGCCGCCCCTCCAGCACCTTCCGTTCCATACAACTCGTCTCTCTTTGATCGTAATCACCATCCATCAGCTATTTATTCAGAATATTTGTGATGAATTAGAATTCTTATATGTACTTTATTATATTGTTGATTTTACAGCTTGCTACTGGATCTATTGTGGAGAAGGTTCATGCACAAAGAATGCAACATATACACATACATGTCAATGCAACCCGGGTTACCAAAATCTTATGAATATCAGTGTCTACCCTTGCTACGGTGAATGTAAGAACTGCATAGCCAAACAACTTTAGGACTAATTACACTTTTTACCTAGAGTTTATAGTGATTAGTAATGTGGGTTTTTTTTTTTAAAAAAAAAAAAATTAAAATTCACGGATTATGTCCTCACAATTTCTTTATAGTTTCAATTTAGTCCAATTACTATCGGTAGTTGGATGTTTCATGAAGAAAGATTAATAGTTATTAATTCAAGTGGATTTATTATTTGCAAGTGAGTTTCTTACTCATACATGATGGATGATTTGTCATTAAATAAAATTAAATTAAACTGTAATAAAGGGGATCTGAATTTCTTGGTCTACATGTGTCAATTTTTCATGTAAAATTTACGTATGCATCACATGAGGAAGTTTTAAAGACGAAATTGGTATACTTAAAATTTTATTACCTAGAATAAGAAGCAATGTAAACTTGAAGGATGTAAATTATGATCACTTTAAAGTGTGTTGTTTAAAGATTTCTCAGTGAGATATCTCATGACATTTGGTTTGCTTCAGGTGCAATTGGATCTGATTGTGCAAGACTTGGAATCGTATCTAAGTCATCATCATCCTCACCTACATCCTCTTCGTCAGGGAATGGGAATAGTCAAGGTGAGAATGCCCACACACACCTATACCATTATTTTTTTTTCTTTGTTTGGTTATCTTATAATCTTTTGAAGATTTGACTCGTGAAACATGAATTTAATGCTACATGCACATATATTACTCAAATTCAAACTAAACAACCAACAAAACCATATTGTCAAGAAGTGTTTGTAATGAAGATTAGTTGATGGTTTTAATTGGTCAAACCATCACTTTTCTAGACCCATCTACCCAAAAGAAATAAAATATAAAAAAAAAAAAAAAAAGTTGGTAACACTTCATATCATCAAATTCATCGATCTTCAATTTAGGACATCAATTTCAAACTTTGCGGATTTTATGCTTCAATTGCCACATAAGAAAAGTAACGTGTCATTTTTTCACAATGTGCACATTGTATTTTCAGTCAATCTTATGAAGGAGGTAATTGAATTTTTTTTAAAAATTGGTAGATGAAAGTGATAACCAATACAGTGAAGCATTTTTGCAGCTTTTCTTTTTTACTCTCCAAGATGAACTAAAGAAAGAGATTTTCTAAGATAAAATTTATATTTTAATTCATACTATTGTCAAACAGAAGACCAATTTGTCTAGAAAATACATATCTTTTGCCAAGTCTTGCTTATTTCTCAAGATTGATTGATATTCCAATCAAAGTTAGTCAAAGGTTAGATCCCTACAACAAACTGACTCTCCATTAGGCTTTCGAGTTAAGTTAGAGCCTTCATTTCATATAATTTTGTAAAGGGAAATGCTATTTAGACCTTATTTAGGAGCCTTCTTTAAAGACTTAATGATGTACAATTATTAGATTGATTGTGAATTCCATCTAACATTAGAACTCACAACTAATCCAATGATTTCATTAAAACCACGTCATTAGGTCTTTTAATAAAGCCTCCAAATAAGATCTCTATAATATTGTCCTTTCGTAAAACAAAATGGGAAAACCAAAACTAGCATTTGGCCAGCATAGGTCATTTTGGCTTTTTTACTTTGATTAAACTATTTACGTAGCAATTTTTGCCATTAGTTTTAAGGGAAAAACTAATGGATGCCCGTTACTCCATGATCCGAAAGCGATTGTGTGCATATTTTTGAATCCTGGGGTAATCATGTGTACTATAGGTAAAGAATGGGATAGTAAAATGGATTTTATCCAAAATATTACAGTTAAATTACATCTCAATGCCTTCTTATTTTGCAGCCACCTCTTTTCTTCCAGGAAAGTTCCATTGGATAAGCATCTTGCTGATCTCTATGGCTATGGCCCTGTGGAAATAAGATGAGAAGCACTATGAAGATCCGCCCCACCCCACTTTTGGTTTCGTCACACAGATTTTGATTTTATACCTTAGTTTGATACATGTGTTTATGTTAGTTTGATTGGTGTATGTGTAATCTATCAGTGTTATATGAATAAAAGCTTTACAGTGTATAAATAAATAAATACAGTAAGAGGGGGAGGGTCTGTGACTACTTTACAGAATATTTTTTGAATAAATATGATTTTTGTCAGCAGGTCTATATAATTAAAAAATTCAAGTATATAAACACAAACTTCACGTACACGCAATAAGTAAATCAGCTCCAACGTGTTCAAGCGAACAACTTTAGGACCAAGGATCTTTCATCAAACATCTACATCAATTTCTGGAAGTAGAGACTATATTAACTGTTTTACATGTGAAGGTAATGGCCGTGTAAGTTATTCCTGAAGATGCAGCTACACTTGTTCTTTTGAGGACAGTGAAGTATGGTATACATAATTCAAGTGCATATCCTTAACAATCCCCCTTCAATACAAAGAAAAGCCATATAATAAAATTCGAATCAGAACATCAACTGATAGCAAATGCTCACAGGGTAGTTACAGAATGAGCATAGAAAAAGTGCACATTTGACAAATATTTCACTGTTTTATTCTTGTTATATCTGTCAATGGCCATAAACAAGTTAAGACACACCTTCTAGCAGGAGTTAAAACATGCAAGGGAGAGCTTCTCAATCATAGAACAATAAATTATTGAAGAGCCTTTCCTCACACTCCTCTTTCCTTCTTTTTTTCTCACCATATTTAGCCATTCTAACAATTCTTAGAACAATTGGAGTCTCTATCATGTCGGTGTTGTAGCCACTACAATAAACATGATGCAACAATATGGCCAAAAGCATGCCTGATCTGACTTAACACACAAGTTAGCGTCCTAACAGTTTCCAAATAATTAAACCTCCAAACCTACGAGAAGAGCCACAACATGCAATGCAACAATATGGCCAAAAACAAGCCTGACCTGACTTAAAACACGAGATGGCATCACTCCTAACTGTTTCCAAATATTTAAACCTCTGAACATAGGAAAAGCGCCACCACATGCATTGGTACTCACCCCCATATAACAGACACTCCCAGTCCCTGCTTTAACTCAGATTTCAATACTTCCCTAAATTTTGTCACCAGGCCCTCCTATAGAATATTCTATCAGCAAGGTCATTCCCAGTTTCATACTCTCTCATTTCTTGATCATTTGCACACAAGTAGTACTGCACAAAATTTAAAGTAGACAAGAATGTGGAGAATGGCTTCTAACAGATGTTTCAGAATCGAAAGAAAAAAAGATGTCATACGCAAAAATCCATGTGAAAAATCAACAAGGTAGTCTCCATTATAGGCTATAACATATATCTTCTTCCAAGTTCTAACTCACATTTTTCAAGTAGTGATGAAACTGCCACTTGTATTACTAGACATAACATTTCCATGCGTCTAAGTAAACATAAACCATTGGAAAAACAAATCTTACATTATGTATTTCAACGTTGCTAAAAAAGTTACATCTGAGAAAAGAGTTAGATGTATAAAGGAGGTATCAGTCTATATAAGCACATGTGATTTTCCATAAAAACATGCTCCAACATCCAAGACATTAAAATATAGAATCGCTTCATTTCAATTACTTCACATTGTTCCGATTATCATCTATGCTCCAATTATTAGCTACTGATAAGTGAGAATCACATGACCTATAAAACCATCAATCTGGCACAAAAACTCACAAACAATCATTATGACACATCCACATATTACTACCAAACAGGCCAAAATCATCAAGAATAATAAATGAGAAATATATCAGAATCATGCAAAAAGGGAAATTTCCATGGTAAAAAATGGACTTATATATCCCATAGACTGAAAGGTGTATGACATTCTTTAGTTGTAGCGAAAATCTGAAAAGCCCTAATTCACCCTTCCATTCAATATCACCAAGTTGCTCCAACAGAGTCCAATAAGATGGGACAGCTACATTCATCTGCTAGCAGCCTCATTCTATCACCAAGCTCTCCTATTAAGGTTTTATCACCAAGGGCATTTCAGAGATCCTTTTGAACTCCTTAGATGTTCATTTTCCCTTGGTTATATAAAAAATCAAAAGAAGTAAAGGATGTAAAGATCGACAAAAAGATCCTTGTGTTTCTTCGGAATGACCCACTACAAATTTCTCCCATTCTCAACGGATTATCAAAGAAGTAATTATTGCAATAGAGTCGTCGTTGATAGAAATTTGAAGATTAAAACAATGCCCCCAAACTCGAGATTTGTATAAGCAAACAAATAGCATTCTTCTACTGCAACAAAGATCAACAGGTTTAATAGCATAAAGAGACTAGATAAACAATTCCTCCAACAAAACACCCAAATTTCCTTAAATTTTTTTTAATCAAGAATCTCAAAGTTTATGAAAAAGGTAAGCTAGACGTAAATTGTAATTCAAAATTAATACAAATAAGGGAAAAATGATGTACATATAAGCATGAGACTTGCCACTCAAAACACGTTCAATAACCTCAATTTCAATTATTTAATGAGTTGCTGACTTTCTCGTTTATGTGACATGATTCTAATAAAAGTTCTAATTGCTCATAGAACCATTAGTCAATACACATACAAAATTTCAACAACTGCCTAAGTAAACATCTTATAGTTACAACAGAATAGCACATGCTGATCACAAAATTTACAAAAACAACACATCAAAATCATCAATATTCAAATTGTAAAACAACTCGGCATGTCTCACCAAGTTGTACTTCCAACAAAACTGAACCACCTCCACTGGCATTGCCAATCCACTCCCTCCAAGCCCATCAACCAATTATGAGTCATCGGCCACAACAACGAACTTTTCCGAAGCAACTTCCACCATTTTCTCTCAGAGAAGAGCTCCACTATGGCCTTTGACCAAATTGAGAACTGGGTCTGCCTCGTCTACACCGTCTATGGCGAGACCGAGTTTTGGGTGGTCATCGAGAACAGAAAGAGGGATGCATAGTGAAGCGGCTTGTTCTCGGGTGTGTTTTGAAGTGGGTATTCAGACTATATCTGTTAATTCACTGGTATTTAGAAGCTCGCCGGGCTTCGAAACAACGAAGGCGGCCGAGGAGCCGATGCCGAGGCCGAGGACCAAGCCTAAGAAACCTAAACGGAGAATTATGCTGATGTCTGTTACTTAATCGCGTCATAATTAGACTATTATATGGTAGTATATCTATTAATAAATTATACTGAAATTTTTAAAATTTATAAATGTGTAATACTTAAACTGTTCAAGTTTAAAATATTATACTTAACTCAAAAATATTTTAATGAAAGCTAAAATATCAAATATTTTAAATTTTATAATTAAAATTCATATTCTATTATGACATTTGTTAAAATAAAATAAACAAAAAATCTAATTTTTTTTAAAAAAATCATAATTAATATACAATTATATTATTTATTAAAACTTAATTTGGTCTTTTAAACGATTAAATTAAACTGCCAAATTGTTCAAATTAAAGTTAAAAGCTATTATGTTCGTTACGGTATGAGCTTTTGTTTGATTTTTAGTTTTATTTTAATAGATAATATAATTGTATAGTAATTATAATTTTTAAGAAAAATTTAGACATTTATTTTCTATTTTATTTTAATAAATGACATAATAAAACATGAATTTTGGTTGTAAAATTCATGTTTTATTATAAATAACTTAAATCCATTGTTTAATTTTTTTTAGTTTTATTCCAATGATACAATAAAATATGAATTTTGATTTTAAAATTTAAAATATTTGATATTCTCTATTTGATTGAAGTATTTTTTTTTATCTAAATATAATATTTTAAACTTGAGAGGTCTAAGTATTATACATTTATAAATTTTAAGAGTTCTGGGTGTAATTTATTATCAGATATACTAACTGAGAGGTCTAAACGTTACATGCGTACAAACTTTAGAGAATTTGTGTATAATACTTTAAATATCATGGATCTAAGTGATTAAATTACAAACCTCAAAATGTCTAGGTATAATTCTCACAAACCTTAAATATGATTAGTAACAATTCTATTAAGTACATTTACAATATTTTTAATTAGTTTTTTATAATTTGAAATCACTATAAAATAATTTCATTACCAACATAATTAATGATATTTTTTTAATACATCTAAATTAACAATGATGAGAGAGAACAAGAGCTGACGCAAGATATAAGGAGAGAGAAAATAAAAATTCAGAAATGATTTTTTTTATAATAAGTTGAAGAGGCTTAAATCAACTGCACATGTTGGATAAAAAAAAAACACTGCACATGAATTGATGGTTAATGGAGTCACGTGGTAAAGGCATTTGACACGAGCCCAAGCTAATATATGGACCAAGCAAATGATCGATAGAACGAACTGAGCAATCAGCCATAACTTACAAAAGACAAAGGCTGAACCAAGCTTATTAGCGGAGCAAATAAGAGCGATTAGGGTCTTGTTTACGGTCAATCTCGAGGAATCATAGGCAAAATACAAAGTTGCCTAAATCAAAGGAACACGCAGCCTAAATCGTAGGCAAGAATGAGTCAGATGAGATCAAGGATCAAATGAAGAGGAATCCAACTAAGAAATTGGTGAGCCACTAGACCAGCAAGAGAACGAAAACTCTAGTAGAAAGGGAACGATCTGACACAATAAATACCAGGCAATACTTGAGCAATAATGTTAGAGTGACCAAATTTTGAGATTAAATTTGAAGTCCAAATGACATGACAGTTGATTATTTGAAGTTTTTATTGGGGTCCAAATGATATGACACCAATCAATAAAATTCAAGTCAACTGCCATGTTATTTGAATTTAAATTTGATCCCAAAATTTGGTCAATGTAGCATTACTCATACTTAAGTCTATGGTATACACACTTTTTTCCTGCTATCCAATACTTTATTTTCCAGTTGAATTCTCAAAATCTAAGGTGAGAGATTTTTTCCTCTTACATAAGTTAAGGGTATTCAACAAACAAATTATAAAAATTTGCAAAATTAGAGTAGAAATTTAATCCAAAAGTGAGAGATAATTGGGTGCATTAAGATCCACAAGAATTTGTTTGGGTAAATCACATAAATAGCTCCTAAATTGTGGGTTCTTTTTTAAATTGCCCTTTCATTCCC